AGCCCAATTTCCATGAACCTAAGTCTGATACAAAACCTACAAAATCTCTATCTTATTTATCCAAAAAGCTAGCTAGTTTTCCCAAAGCCCAATTTCCATGAAGCTAAGTATGATACAAGAGCCAGCAGGGGAGAGGGATTCTCTAGAGAAGGGGAAATGGATTTTGCCGTTACCACGGCGAGATTCGAAGCAGAAGAAGAAGCGACTGGATTGGGGAATCATCCCGATGGAGAAAAACAGGTTGAGGTAAACGAGATGGAAATTGAATCAGGCGGAACAAAGGTATCTTACAAGGATTCATTCCTTGGGAACAGCCCGCCGGAAGCAATCCCAGAAGGGGATGACTTGATGTCCGACGAGTCGGATGCGGAGGGTGTTGATGACGATCCAGACTGCCCCACGATCCGAATCAAGAAAAGTACTGATGCCCGAGTTCGTAATCGCTGGAAACGAGCCATCACCTTCAGAGTTCTGGGTAAGATCTTCCCTTTTGCTTTCTTCCATAGGAAAATACAGAACATGTGGGCGAAAACTGGGGGAATCAGAATTAGGGATATTGGAAATGGGTATTTCCAAGCCACCTTCGACTCGCAATTGGACCATGATCGTGCCCTCTATGACGAACCGTGGACGTTCGATGACCACTATATCGCCTCCGAGCTGTGAAGACAGGATTTCGATCCGGACTTTGACTCAATCAACAGGGCTTCGGTCTGGGTTAGACTACCAAGACTTCCCCTTGCTTATTTTGATGAGGAGATCCTCACTGATATTGGGGACAAGCTGGGGCGAGTGGAAAAGATCGACTACAATACTGCAAATGGCTCAAGAGGAAACTACGCACGCATTTGTGTCGAAATCGATCTCAGAAAGAGGCTGGTCTCTAAGTATAGGATCAAGAGAAGAGTCAGCCGTGTTGAGTAGGAGGGATTACACACTGTTTGCTTTGGATGTGGACACTATGGCCACCTTGAAGATTCCTGCCCATAGGGAGTACAAAGGGGGGAAAGGTCACCTGAGGAAAGGATGAAGACAAGTTTTAAACCTGCTGAACCAGAAATCAGGCCTGAGATAATGGAGGATTTCGGGCCATGGATGCTGGCTACGAGGAATCGTAGGAAACCACAACAACAGGTACCCTCCAACACAAGAAAGAAGGAGACAGGGGTGGAGAACCAACAGACACAAGAAACCGGGTCAAGATTCATAGTGTTAGAAGAGGAAGCGAACGAGGAGGAAGACGGAGAAACTGACCAGGAGGCAACTGAGGAACAGCAGGATAGAATGGAGGAAACTGGGGCAGAAAGTGGAAAGGCTGGGAAGGAGCAGAAAGAGGATCAAAGCAAGGAAAAAGGGAAATATAAGAAAGTGGAGAACAACAAGAAAGAAGGGAAGAAGATCAACAACAACATGGTGAAGGACCAAACCGAAAACCACATCAGAAGACACCTCCAGAGAATTCTAAGGTCAAAACCAAGACAAATGCCATCCCCAATAAATAGGAGGCCCTGATTCCAAAAAAAAGTTCTTGGATACAGCTAGCAAGGACTTCTGCGCTTCAGCAGCGGTGGCACAACATCCTACCCCTACCAAACTTGTCTCCCATTCCATTTCTAAGGGTAGATCAAGTAAGGAGGTTTCCAAGGATGCAAAACCATGCCATCAGCCAAAGATGAAGGAGATGCAACTCAAGATCACCAATACCCCTTATAAGAAGAACAACAAGCAACCTGAAAATGTGAAGCACCCACCTTGGAAGATCACCTTTGAATCCAATGGAGGAAAGGATGCTCTTGAGCTAGAAAATGCAATCAACCCTTCGTCAACTATCCCAAGTTGCAGCGAAGAAAGGGGACAGGCGGCTATGGCCGTCGACTCCAAATGAACGTCTCGACCTATGGTCGATGTGAGGGAAGTTTCCTTATCCTTAACTTTTTAATGATTAGGTTTTCTCCTGGAATTGTCGAGGTGCAAAACACCTCAAATTTTGTTCTACCCTGGATTTCTATAAGTCTACTCACAACCCGAATGTTGTTTTCATTTTAGAGCCCCGAATCAGTGGAGAGGAAGCCATCAAGGTCATCAAAACTCTTGGATTCGATTCTTGGGAAATATCATATGCTACTGGATTCATTGGAGGAATCTGGATGCTTTGGAACAAGAAGGAGGTTCAAATGAAACAGCCTGAGATCCACAAGCAGTACATCCACATTGAATGTGCTACAACCAATGGGGATGTTTGTGTCCTCACTGCCATTTATGCCAGCCCAAATGAGCATGCTAGAGGGGATCTGTGGTCGGCTCTACGTGACATTAGCCAAAGAACCTCTTGCCCTTGGTTGCTTTTTGGAGATTTCAAGACAATCACAAGGCCAAATGAGAAGCAAGGAGGAGCCAACTTCAGCTTCTCCAGGACGAAAGCTTTCGTGGATTGTATTCATGATTGCGGACTACTGGACCTGGGATTCAGCGGACCAAGTTTCACATGGTTCAAAGGGGATTCTGGTGTTCGTGAGAGGCTTGATAGAGGGTTATGCAACCTGGCATGGCAGCACAGGTTCCCTCAATCCCATGTCTTCCACTTGATCAAGATGAAGTCAGACCATAAACCATTCCTGATCTGCAACAAGAACATCCCTGCCAAATCCAAACTGGTGAAACGCTTCCAGTTCCTTGCACCATGGTTGACCCATGATAATTTCTTTCCTTTTGTCTCCTCCTCCTGGAAATGTGGCCAGCTCCTCCCTTGTGCCCTGCAGGACCTCTCGAGCAAGCTTCAAGAATGGAATAAGAAGGTTTTTGGGAACATCTTCTAGAGGAAAAGGAGACCAGCAAATGCTCTCCACTCCCTGGAAGTTCTGAATGTCAGAAGGCCTTCCACCACTTCTCTGGAGGAGGAAAGGAAGACTCGGATTGAACTTGAAGATGTGTTATGGCAAGAAGAGATACTCTGGCTCCAAAAATCAAGAGCAAATTGGACCATACATGGAGACCAGAATTCCAGGTTCTTCCACACCAGCACACTCTGCAGGAGGAAAAGAAATAAAATCATGAGCCTAAAGAATAAAGAAGGAGAGTGGATCACTGATCCAGACTTGATACAAAAGATGGCAAGAGAGCACTATGTGAAGCTGTTTACCAAAGCAAGAAGTAACCCGCAAGCCATCACGGCTAGGTTTCCCACCCTTGAGAACCATAAATGGGATCACCTGACAAGAGCTCCAACACCGGAGGAGATCCATTGCATCATCAAATACATGAATGGGTTAAAGACGCCGGGGAAAGACGGTTTCCATGCCCTCTTCTTTCAGAGATGCTGGAAACTTGTGGGGAAGGACTTCTGCAACTCCATCCAGAGATGTTTCTATACTCCTGACAGCATCCGACTCCATAATGAGACGTTGCTGGTCCTCATCCCAAAAGTTGACTCCTCCAGCTCGATGAACCACTTCAGACCCATCAGCCTCTGTAACGTGGGGTATAAAGTGGTAGCGAAGTGTATAGCAAACAAGCTCAAACACCTTATGCCCCACTTGGTTAAACCTAATCAGTCAAGTTTTGTCCCCAAACGGCACATCACTGACAATATCTTGATCCTGCAGGAAACAGTCCACTCGATGGCAAGTGAGAAGAAGTGGAAACCCATCTGTCTTTCCCTGGGAGGACCACCCCTATCTCATTTGTTTTTTGCGAACGATTTGGTCCTCTTTGCTGAAGCTTCCTTGAGGCAAGCAGAAATCATCAACCTCTGTGTGGAAAGATTCTGTGATGCCTCATGCGAGCTTGTGAGCAAGGAAAAATCCAGAGTCTTATTTTCCAAGAACACTAGAGATAGGGATATGAGAGATATCTATGAAAAACTTGGAATCCAATCAACTCTTGACTTAGGTAGATACCTAGGGTGCCTGTTCTACATGGTAGGATCACTAGGAACACCCATAAGTATCTCATCGACAAAATTGATCAAAAATTGACCTCTTGGAAGGCTAAAACCCTCTCTCTTGCAGGAAGAGTTACACTTGCCCTCTCTGTTCTGAACGCCATTCCCACTTATGCAATGCATACCACCCTTCTCCCAGCCTCAGTCTGTGACCTTATTGACAAGAAAATCCGACAATTTGTGTGGGGGTCAAGGGATGATAAAAAGAAAGTGCATTTGATTTCCTGGGAAAATGTGTGTAAACCTAAACAACAAGGGGGACTGGGACTAAGATCGGCTAGGAGCTTAAACATGGCTTTCATGATTAAACTTGCCTGGCATATTTTTAACAATAGTTCTGATCTTTGGGTGCAGGTTATGCAAGGCAAATATTTCAAACACAAAGATGGACAGATCGTGGAGATGAAAAGAAGCAACCACTCGAGCCTTTGGAAAGCAATCCTGAAAGCCATGCCTCTCATGAAGAGTGCCACAAGCTGGAGCATCAGAAATGGGAGAACCACCAGCTTTTGGAATCACCCGTGGCTGGAGCATGACCTACTCCTTAAAGAACACCTCCTGCAGGATGCTGCACTAAGTGATGAGGACTCAATGGTGGTGGACTGGACGAACGATCTGGGAGATTGGGATTGGCCGAAGCTTCAAGATCTCTTTCAGCCTGACATTTTGGCTTTGATTGCAGGAACTGAACCTCCCAAAGAGGATTTAGGGGAGGACAAATGCATCTGCGGGCTGAAGAGGGATGGCATCTGCATACAAGCTGGCAGCTGACCAACTGGATGCCACAGAAGATGACCTCTGGAAAAACCTTTGGAAGTGGGCAGGACCTAGTCGAACCAAACATTTTCTCTGGTTGGTGTTGCACGACAGGCTGCTTACTAACAAGGAACGACTGAAGAGGAGGCTCACCACTGATGGAACCTGCCGCCATTGCAAGGACGCTGAAGAAACCACAGAACACATCGTCAGAAGCTGCAGCAAGACGAAGAGCATCTGGGAAAAGTTCAGATCCAGAGTCACCTACAAGGATGAGACTTTGCCTTTCAAGACTTGGATGGCACGCAACCTGAACAATGCGGATCATGGTGTTGAGTTCAGATTAATTGTGTGGCATCTCTGGAAACGGAGAAATGAGGAATGTTTGGATGGAAAGATTTTTGTGGAGAAATCCCTTGTTTGCAGGATTGAAGCATGGTTCAGGATCTACATGATGGCTCAACAGAATGTGGAGAAGAGTTTGCTCCACCAGTTGAGAGAAGAGAAGAGCAGATCGGTTGGAATCCTCCACCTCAGGGATGGGTACAAATCCAGACAGATGGTTTTGTCCTCTCTCCCTCAGGAAAAGCAGCAGCTGGAGGCCTAATTCGGGACTGCTTGGGAAGATGCTCCGCGGCCTTTGCCAACAACCTAGGGAACTGCTCGATTACTGCAGCGGAGCTTAAAGGAGCAGTGGCAGGTCTTCAAATGGCCTGGGACAAAGGCTATCGTAAAGTCCATCTCAATCTTGACTCCTCTACTGCAATGTCAATCATCAGGAATTGCTCGGATGATGATCACAGACATGGCCTTCTTGTGCAACATGTCTGTAATGTTTTGAATCGTGACTGGGATGTTGTTATCTCACACGTGTATAGGGAAGGAAATAGAGCGGCCGACTATCTTGCTAGTCTTGGCCATAGCCTACCTTTTGGAACACACCATGTTGATGTGTGTAGCCCTGAGCTTTGTAGGTGGTTAGAGTACGATGTTATGGGAATTTCCCAAGCACGGTTTATTAATATATGATCTGAGGCGCTTTTAGCGTCTGCCTTCTTACCCAAAAAAAAGAAATATATATTATAGCAATAAGTAAAATAAAAACAGTTCATGTTTCCAACTTTTTAAATTTTGCTTAAGTTATCGTCTATATTTTCTCTCTTTAGATCTGGCCCTGCTATAACTATTAAACCAACCACAGGGGCGGAGAAAAGTGCGAAAGAAGGAGGAAATGGGGTGGCCTCGTAGTGGGGTGGGGTGGGGGGAGGGTTTCTGGGTCACAAATGATAAAGGGAGGAGGAGGAGGAGGGAGGGACGGAGGAGAGAGGACGGGGGGCAGCTATTTTGTTTCTTGTTTTATTTTGAGTATTTTGGGGAGAACTAATGTAAGATTGATTTTTAAACCTTTTTGTGTAGGGGGAGGGTTGCTGGGTCACAAACGACAAAGGGAGGAGGAAGAGGGAGGGGCGGAGGAGAGAGGGCGGGGAGCAGCTAGCGCTAGCGCTGCTTCTTTTATTTTTATTTTTTTTCGTTTTACTTTTTGTTTTTTGTTTTATTTTGAGTATTTTTGGGAGAACTAATGTAAGATTGATTTTTAAACCTTTTCGAGTAGGGGGAGGGTTTCTGGGTCACAAACGACAAAGGGAGGAGGAGGAGGAGGGAGGGGCGGAGGAGAGAGGGTGGGGAGCAGCTAGCGCTGCTTCTTTTATTTTTATTTTTTTCCGTTTACTTTTTTTTTAGTATTTTGGGGAGAACTAATGTAAGATTGATTTTTAAACCTTTTTAAGTAGCACTTAATATTCAAGCAAAATTTCTCTTTTTATAGAGCAATATATGACTGTCCAAAAGCCATTGTGTTTGGATATGAACAACTCTCGATATTAATACATATATTAGGGTCGGCGTTGTTTTTAAGTTTCAAGTTCAATTAGTTGTTTTTTGTTTGATTGACATATAAGGAATCGTATAAATTGAACTTGCAGTCTACATCAAACAAATCGAGTTGTTGCATATAGGGGTAGTTCACAAATTGAAGCTTGATAAGATAGCGCCTAGCAAAAAAAAAATCAAAAACGAAAATGAGCTAGCTAGTGTTTGAAGGCCAAAAGAGAACTGCAGGTTAAGGGGGTTGTTGAAAGAAAGTACATTTTATTCCCTCTTTTAAACAATGTGCTCTACTTCATTTACATTATCCTCACTCCCTTCACAAAAGAGCGCAAGACATTGGAGAGGGGATGAAAAAATTGAAGTGAGTGGAAATTTGAGCATAGTGAAATAATAAGGGAAAAATGGTATTCAATTTTGAAGAGGAAAATGAGAAGAAAAGAAGGGAAAATGAGATTCAATAAGAAACAATAGTCGTTTTCACCTCAAATTGAAGGAGCAACTGCTACAATAGTTTTCCCCCTCAAATAATCACTCACTTGTATCGTAGCAAAGCTTATAAAAAAAAATCTAAATATCTCCATTTCCCTCAATTTTTTCTCCAGCTTCTATTTTCTCTCTTTTGTGAACAAAGGGATAATGTTTCTCCCGCCCCATGCCCCCATTAATTGCCATTGACTAGAGAAGCGGTTCAACAAAGTGGATGTAAATAAATGAACAAATTTGTGCCTAAGACTATAGTGCTTTGTTTAGTTGATTTAGTTTTTATTACAATGCTCACGTACTGATAAATAATATACAAATATATACATGCTTACGTACGTATACATAACATAACGGCTAACGCAATTGGACTCAACATGTTGAAAGAATCTTCAAAGTCAACACTACTCAATCAAGCTGTGTATTATTATTATTATTATTATTATTATTATTATTATTATTATTATTATTATTATTATTATTAGTTTTGTTATTATTTGAGGTAAGCAACCCATGCATCGGTCAATCGCTCGTCTCGAGAAGAAAATCATGATTATGTATAGATTAGATATATAAATAATCAACTACGTTGACTTTTAGTTAATGTATGCCTATTGTGTTTCATCAAAGAAAATGTAGCTAAAGTGGAAGTTTTCATAAATATTGTTCGACAAATCTGAAGTAAATTTTTGAAATTTGGGGTGACTTGCTTTTGTGTTTGAGCACACTCTCCGTAAAACCATCAATTTCGTTTTCTTTGCGGCTACTTTAAATCTGATTTAGGTTAGCGAATCTCATGTGATCTGCTGATTATGTAGTCACACTTTCATAAAGAAGGTCAAGAGTTGTAATTATTCGTAACAATTAGTACTATATATAAAGAGCCATAATTTTTTTCAAAAGGGGGGAAGGCGGTTATGAATAAATAGATCGATAGGGAGGTGATTCTTTTGGAAGATGTGTTTGTTAATGTCATGAGAAAAACAATGTTTAACAACAAGATGTAAATAATACATGCTAATAACATGATCAACAACTTGTCCAACATTTGTGAAAGGAGGTATGTTGTAAACATGTTTTCTCGTAGAAGTTCGTTAGATTATACTTTTCTCGTACGAAATCGACATCTCAATCATCTTGACTGCGCATTGAATAGAGGTTTTTCCTCATAGCACAGACTTTGCTTAATCTTTTCCATATACCTAATCATTTGGGTAACTAGTTTTGCATGGATATAGAATGTGCGGAAAATTAAGTTGGCAACCTAAGTTGACTTGAATTCAAAGTCTCCAAACTAAGTATTATTCCTCGAAATCAAACCTGCCGGCCGGCCATTACTTTTAATAAATGACACATTTTTTCCTTAACGTAATAAACCAAATTTATTTTTCTTAGCGTAATAATAAAATACAATTCTTGCATGGCTGTAGCATGTAGCTAAATTATCCCAAAATATTATTTGTCTTTTTCAAGTTGGGCTAGCTTTTATTATCGTGTTAAATATTTGTTTGCTTACCTCTTTCAGTCTCAGCCGCCCTATTGTCCCATACTAGTTTTTTCAATTTGCTCAACCCATAATTATCTTGAATCATCGCTGAAATTAAATGATTTGATATTTGTTTTATATACAGTATTAAATTGTTTCTCCATGAGATGTCGCATTCAAAATGTTGAAGATCCTCATTACTATCAGCTATTGATTTACAATGCGAAGAGTGTGTGTTAAGGGAAACGGTAACGTTTCCATATAGATAGGTTGTTGGTTCATGTACGAACCGGCTAGATAGGTTTGGAATTAATCAATGTATAGTTAGTTGAGTTGTATAGAGTCATATATAAAGGGAAAGTTGTCTCCCTGGACAGATACAATTTCCAGTTTACTTCGTTCAATCTATTGAATTCATTGAGACTTTGACATGGTATTAAAGTTGTACTCCTAGAACTTAAAGCTCTTATAGACACCAAAACCTGGAAACTAGTGGACTTGCCTCCTGGTAAGATCCCAATAGGCTGCAAATGGGTATTTAAAGTAAAATACAAGTCTGATGGGTTCATAGAACGTTTTAAAGCTAGGTTAGTTGCCAAAGGTTATACTCAAACTTATGACATAGATTATTTTGATACTTTCAGTCCTGTAGCTAAGATAACTGCAATAAGGGTTTTGCTCAGTTTAGCTGCTACTAACAACTGGTACCTTCACCAATTAGACGTTAATACAACCTTTCTACATGGCAACCTTGATGAAGAGGTTTACATGGTTCTCCCCCTGGCCTCTCCACTGACCCTGCTGATGCAAACAAGGTTTGCAAGTTAACCAAGAGTCTATATGGATTGAAACAAGCCAGTAGACAGTGGTTTCTCAAGCTGACATCAACCCTCATTTCTCTTGGTTACACACAGTCTAAATCAGATTATTCCCTATTTATTAAAAACAAACCCAATTCCTACACTGCTTTACTTGTTTACGTGGATGACATTGTCTTAACTGGAAATGATATGTCTGAGATCAATAGAGTCAAAGAACATTTAGACAAAGCTTTCACCATAAAAGATCTATGACAACTTAAATATTTTTTTGGAATGGAGATAGCTCTATCTTCTGCAGGTATACATATGAACCAGAGAAAGTATGCTCTGGAGCTACATGAAGATCAGGGAATGCTAGCCTCCAAACCTGCCAACTCTCCTCTTGAACCAGGTCTTCAACTATCCAACACAGCAGGTGATCCTCTCCCTAAGGATGAAGCCACCAGCTACAGAACTCTTGTTGGATGCTTGCAGTATCTCTGCAACACTCATCTAGACTTGCTGTTTGCTGTGAATTACCTGGCGCAATTTGTTATCAGTCCACGAACACCTCATCGGCAAGTCATCCAACGAGTTCTTCGTTACATAAAGGCAGCACCAGCTGAAGGACTTCTCTTCTCCGCCAAGTCATCCATGGATCTTCATGCCTATGCTGACTCTGATTGGGCAGGGTGTCTTGACACCAGAAGATCAACATCAGGCTATTTTGTTTTCCTCGGCCGCTCTCTGATCTCCTGGGCTGCTCAGAAGCAACAAGTGGTTTCCCGCTCCTCTGCAGAAGCTGAGTACCGAGCACTAGCAGAAACTACTTGTGAACTGCAATGGTTGTCGTCTCTGCTCACGGAACTCCACCAGACCATTAAGCTTCCATTGCAGGTTCATTGTGATAGCAAATCTGCTATTCACATGGCGTCCAACCCAGTCCAGCATAAGCGCACGAAGCACATAGAGCTAGACTGCCACCTTGTGCGTGATCAAGCCCAAAGAGGGTTCCTCAATGTCATATACATTCCAACAGCGCAACAACTTGCCGATCCATTCACAAAGGCTGTTGGAGTTTCCACCTTTCAGGATCTTATAACCAAGCTGGCCATTCATTCCATACATGGTCAGCTTGCCGCAGGGGGGGGGGGGGTGTTGAGGGAAACGGTAACGTTTCCATATAGATAGGTTGTTGGTTCATGTATGAACCGGTTAGATAGGTTAGGAGTTAACCAATGTATAGTTAGTTGAGTTGTATAGAATCATATATAAAGGGAAAGTTGTATCCCTGCACAAATACAATTTCCAGTTTACTTCGTTCAATCTATTGAATTCATTGAGACTTTGACAGTGTGAAAAGTTAAAATTTATTTTCAGACTTCTCTTAATGATTCGAGGTTATTCTTCTTTTTTATTGAATACCCAAAACAAAATAAGTCGAGTTATGAACGGGATCCACAAGTAGTTAAACCTTCCAAAAAAATTTAATTAACTCAATGTACAGAAATTAATTATTGTGATGATTAAAGTATATATCTAGGTATTTAAAATTGGTTTTGTGCCGACAAGGAAGGACAAGTTGGAAGGGCCACTTGTAATTAGCTTATCATATAGTTGTCATTAAAGCCTACTAATTAATGATTCCCAGCATCAAATCGGTAAATCCAAAAGAAATCATCATTCATTACATAATAATCCAAATGTGCTTATTAGAGAGGGTTCAACTTTTAATTCGTGTTAACGGAACTTTGATTGGTCTTAAGGTCCCATGATCTGAATTAACCCAACCCATCGAGGAACGAGAAGTCGATAGATTGCCTAAGTTTATGATATAGACGGAATTAGTTGGGTTAAAGAGATTGTAAATTATAAATTTGACCAACAAGTGCTTAGTATTTAGTTGTAATACCACCGATTTAAAACTTGGTTTCAAATTCGACTATCTTAAATAGTACCAAACTAAAAATTAAACATATATCATTCTTATAATTTTTTTAATAAATTTGGTGAATGATTCTGATTTAAATATTCAATTTCTTACTCTAATCTTATCAAACTTGTTAGTTACACAAAATAAATGATTTTATCAGTCCAACTACTCATATATCACAGTTTGAGTTTGGAGAATTACGGGATCGTTTGGATGGGTTAATTGTCAATGTGGTATTTGTAAAGTCAAATAACTCATTTATTGTTTGTGTGGTATTTCTGTGTTATTTCAGTGGTAATTGAAATAAAGTATTTCGTTTGGTTGAATCATGCAAATGTGGTATTTGGTAAAAGCAGAGTGATAAAACGAGTTATTTCGAAATAACACATGTGTATGAGTTATTTCAAATAACTCGTTTTGGGTTATTTGTAAATAACTCACTGTCCAAATAATTCATTTCAGTAAAACGCTGCCAAACGAGTTATTTGTCTCCAAATAACTCACAAATACTAAATGTATTTGCTGGCTACCATAACTGGATTCGGATACCACTTGTTATAATGGTTGAGCAATAGATAAAGTAGTGAAACATGCATACAGATTTATCGTCCATTGTAGTTAAAAGAAGAGATGGAGTTAAGGAAACTTCAGAGTGCAGTGCCTCAAACTCTCGTTTGGAGATGGTCGGAAATTTCGTCCTGCCGAATTGGTTGACGGTGAAAGTGGTGCATGTGATGAATGAGATAGGTCGTTTTGGAGAAGGATTCTAATGAACGTGACACTCAGCCAGCCCTTTTTCCCAGTAGTTTCCTTTCCTCCCCGAGGCAGCTGTTTCGTAGAGTTGAGTTCACCCATACCCATCCATGGCCATGGCAATTTCGCGGTTATGTGACCGGTTTAGCATTTTTTTCTGGATACTCCGTTTCTCTTTTGCAAGACATGTCGACATTGACGCGCACTGTTGTTTGGTTTTGATGATTGTTTGGTTAAAATAGTTATAATGAATGCATTGTTTATAATACATTCATTTTTTGAATTTTCTGCACAAACAATATATATATTGTTTTCTTAATGTGATGGAAACAAAATGAGTGATAGTAATATCTCTATTAATACTTGAGATTATTGAGATAGTTTTGAGGAGATTGTTGGGTTACTATTTTTGTTTTTTCAATTATTCTCCTAGTTATATATAAACCATATATATATATATAGCGAGTTCTATGGTATCCAGGCTGAAATCAGAGGTACCGCATACCTTGAGTATGAAAACGCTATATAGACCTTGAATTGACTGATCTTTCAGACATGATACTATACTCTAACCCTTAAAGTTCAAAATCTAGGTCTTAATTCTCTAAATCTTATACCCCAAGATCAATTTAATTAAAAACAATAATCGACGGTTATGATTCGTCCAAATATAGGCAAAAAAATCAATGTACTATCTTAGGGTTTATAGTTTATGATTTAGATAATTAGCACCTAGGGTTCACTCATTAAGGATTAGGGTATAGTATCATGCCCAAAAATTCTGCTAATTCGAATTCTAGATAGCATTTTCATACTCAAGGTATACGGTACCCCGGATTTCACCCGGGGTACCATAAAAGGCACCATATATGTTTTTTTTATAACGGGGAACACCCTCCACGGTCACCACCTTTGTGATGCCGTAGTCGGGCTAAACCCCGGGACCTCCGCCGGCGGTCCGGGTGATAGCGGGATGCCTCCGGGAACACCATGGTGGCGGTGAGGATCGAACCTGGGACCTCACGGTCACTATATATATATTCTAATGAAAGAAAGGACAAAAGTGAAATTTCCAATAATAAAAAGTAGGGTTAATACCTTAGTTTGGCCTGAACTATACACATACTTTCTACTTTGGCCCGTGGTATTGAAAATTGCTATTCTGGCCTGAACTATGTAGCAAACTTCCTCATTTGGCCTGGAGGCGGGTTTGAGCGTCAAATTAGACGGTCAAACCTGTTGATCGTTAGTCAATGTCCACCTCACCTGCCACGTCAGCTTTGAGAACATAAAAAATTATTTTTTTTATTTCTGAATTTTGTTTTCTTTCGATTAATAAAAATCATAAATCAAAAAAATTAATTAAAAGAACGAAAAAGGGCCTATTTTTAGCAAATGACAAGAAAACGAAATTCAGAAATAAAAAAAAATAAAAATTTATGTCCTCAAAGCTGACGTGGCAGGTGAGGTGGACATTGACTAACGGTCAACAAGTTTGACTGTCTAATTTAACAGTCAAATCCGCCTCCAGGCCAAATGAGGAAGTTTGCTACATAGTTCAGGCCAGAATAACAATTTCCAATACCACGGGCCAAAGTAGAAAGTATGTATATAGTTCGGGCCAAATTAAGGTATTAACCCTAAAAAGTAATATAACTTATTGAATACTAAAAGAACTATCACCAAAACCAAACAATGCAAAGTACATTGCATCATTTTTCTTAATTGCATGTATATTACAGTACATGCATTGGTCACAATGCATTAATTTAACTTTCAATTAACTAATCACTTCTCTTCCTCTCCCTCTTACTAGTTTCAAATACATATATGGGATTTGAGGCTGTTGTTGGCTACCATTTTGGACCGGCGGTAGCCCTAAGCTTTTCATTTTTGTCTTTCTTTTTTTCTTTTTTTGGTGCTTTGCTCATTTTTTATTTTTCTTCCTTTCATTTTCACATCGCTGACGGCTTCTTTTGTTGTTTCTTTTCACTTTTCAGAGTTCCTCCATCCTAGTGATGATGTTTTCCGATCTCCCCGAGGAGATGCTTTTGTCGATCTGTGTGGATGTTCTCTCTGGTAGGTATTTGAGGGGGTCGAGCTCGTCGGTTTGTTTGCTCCTCTCTGGTCCTCCATCTACCGCCACATGTTTGATCCATAAATGGGGATGATTCGGAGATGTATGCACCATGGTTGTCTTGGATGAAGATTCAGGGGGCTTGTGAGCAGGAATGACACTGTTGAGGATGGGACCAGCTGAGGGCTCAGATTGGAGGTGTTTTGGGCTTGCGAGTCTTGGGCCTTGTTGTTCCAATTTTGGTTCAATCCTTTTCCGTTTGGTTCTTTCGTCCTTCCTTTAAGTGTTGTTTTCTCTGTACACCGTGTTTCGTTTTTAATGAAACAACCAACCAACGTTCAATAAAAAGTATCACTAAAACCAAACGACCCCTTAAGAGTATTGTCGAGCATTTATAGGGATAAGAGTAGTGTTCCCAGGAGTACGTAGTGTCGAGCATTTATAGGGATAGGAGTAGTGTCCAAAGTCATAATAAAACAAAAAATTATATATACATACGATGGATCTCCCATCTACTTATAGTTGGTTACATCTTTAGTAACACAACTTACTAAGTGAATCAACTCGACGGATTGATTGGAATAGTAATGGAGCTCAGTAGTTGGAATTCAGGAAGAACAACACATAAAGGGAAACAAAGGAGGGGGAGAGAGAGAGAATTTGTTATAATCGCTCATAACAACAGATTTGGAATGAAACCCTAAAGCTTGATCCATGTCATTCATCTTGTTGGGCATGTGACTCGGATTCCGCCGCGCCAAAGAAACACCGACGTCAGAAGAGACGGGCGCACCAGCACCGGCGCGAGCGAGCACACCGACGAGCGCCAATACCAAGAGACGGGCGCATCAGCACCGGCGCGTCCAAGGGCAGCCCGAGTCCAGCGTTGACTAAATTAGCGAGTGTGGGAAAACGACGCCGCGTTTCACCCGCCGAGTGGTCACATCGCAGTCCTAGTCCTAGGTATAATGAAAGGCCTAGTCCTAGGTATAATGAAAGGCTAAATGTACCTGTCCTAGGTAGAGGTATGGTCTAGCCTTCTGACATGTCAGTAGTCATGTCACCATGTAACTCACCCACCACCATGTAGCCTATAAATAAGGCATTTACTCCGGTGGGTGGGGGATCGGATTTTGGAAACTCTATCTCTAAGAAAAGAATACACTTCTCTCTCTAAAAGACTCTCTCAACTCTTTCCTTCTTTCCCTCCAAAGTCTTAAACTGATTCCTGTTGCTCATTCTCCTCGACCCCCTTTTACGTGAATCTCACTCCTACACTCAGTTAGGTTCAAACAATTGGCGCCCACCGTGGGGCTGAGTAGAAAAAGTAACAGAAATCCAACCAATGGCAGAACCCAACTCCAACTTCCCCGACGAGGTGACACCCATCAAGGCTATGACAACCCTGAGGGCGTTCGCCGAAGGCAGCAACCTTAACGCGGTGCTCGTTGACGAAGAAGAGCCCGAGCTGACAGCCAAGGAAATGAAGCAGCTAGTGGCAAAGCAAAACAACGTCATAGCCGACATGCAAAAACAGATGAGCCAAGTCCTCGCGCTCATGATGAGCAAGGAAGCCGCGACAGCACCGGGTGCGGCGCCTGTCGCGCTACAACAAGGAGAGGCGTCAGGCGCGGCCGCGCCACCACAACAGGCGGAGGGCGAGTTGTCCGCGGCTGAAGCGCAACGAATCGAACCACCAGGGAGGGCGGACCTCAGCTTCTTGGAGCAACATCTGTCTCCGCAATTCCGCCCTAACCCACCCAGAAGAATCCTACATCAACCGTTGAGCGCGGAAATAATGGCGGAACACCTAAGCGGAATGCCACCCACCCTCCCAACTTACAACGGGATGACTGATCCAGAGGATCACGTCAGCACCTTCTGCCCGAGGATGCAACTCCAGACTAACTCCAACGCGGCGCTATGCAGAACCTTCCCGTCAACATTCTCCGGAATATGCCTCGATTGGTACAACCGCCTCCCAAATGCAATCATCCCCTCGTTCGAGGAGTTCATACTCCTGTTCACCACAAAGTTCGCATCCCAGAAAAGAAGGCCGCTTCACCTCAAAGCGCTGATAGATATAAGACAGAAGGATGGAAAAAGCTTGCAAGCATTCTACGCCAGGTGGTCCACGGTGGCAATGGCCGTGAGAGACCTCACCCCAGAAAATGCAGCCCATCACCTCATGGACGCCACCACCAACATGGAGCTCAAACGAGCGCTAGCAAAAAGACCTGTCACGCTGACGACAGAGCTGGAGGTCAAGATCGAGAAAGCCATCACGCTAGAGGAGACACTCGGCGCAGGTTCCGTCAGGCGCTTTGAACCCACAAAGGCGCCCAAAGAAGAACAAGCGCGAAAACCACTACCAGTGCCGCGGGACCAGTTGATGCAATTGCACAGCGGCCCCAGACGCCCACCACCCGCGCTAGAGCAAGTTCAACAAGGGCGATCACCGGAGAGGCGCAACTACACACCCCTCAATTACTCCGTGAAGAACGTGTTCCACGTTCTGCGCGAGAAGGGTTACAGAATCAACTGGCCCTCACCTCTGAGGTCCTTACCACACATGCGCGATCCGAAGAAGCGCTGCGAATTCCACAGAGAAACTGGCCACTGGACAGAGGATTGTAGAGAGTTGCGCCACGAGATCGAAGGCCTCATCCGAAGGAGGCTGTTGACCGAGTTCATTCGCGGATCGGAGGAACAGACGGAACAACCAATACAACCACCACCACCCCCACAAGAGGACTATAACGACGCCACAGGCTCGTACGTGGTACGAAAAGAGATCGGGGTGGTAACAGTAGAAGGAGACCGCCCCAAGAAGAAAACCAAGCGCGAGCGCGCTATAGAGTGCGCAGCGGCCGAGGTACCGACGAAGTGCAACCTGAGCTTCGATGACGCGTAGTTCCCCCAGGGGGTCCCATCAGAAGACCCCCTTACCATCACTGTGCTTGTCGCCGCCTGCAAAATCCACCGCCTACTGATAGACGGGGGCAGCGCGGCGGACATCCTTTTCAAAAGCACAGTTGATCAAATGGACATCGATCTGCGACTGATCAAGCGCGCTCAGGGTAACTTAGTCGGCTTTTTCGGAACGAGAGTTCCAGTCATTGGCGTAGTCACCCTCCCGGTTGTCCTTGGAGACCAAGAGCCGCGCGTCTCGAAGCAGGTCGAATTCTC